ACACTTTAGGATGTCGCGATCCGGAGTTGGGTTGGTCTTGGTAGCCATACACTTCACCTCCTTCTTGCGGTGCTGACAGTCACAAGTGACAAAGGTCTTGCTCTGGCATGGTCGGTCTTCCTTGCATGGATAGGGGGCGTGGCATGAGTCCTGGCACGAGTGGTCGCAGGATCTGCGAGTCTTGCCGCAGGATTGGGCGCAATGAGAGCCAGGAATATCAGCGTCTTCGCATTCGCCAGGACGGTGACACTCCTTCCTACATGTGTGAGTTCTGTCATCTAGTCAGCACATGCGATGGATGCTGTAGTAGAGTCAATATCACTTACCCGCACTTGAGCTTCTTCCCACACGGCAGACCACAACGAGCCTCCTCCAGCCAGCAAGGCCGGTTCTTCATCCTCTGCTTGCCGCAGATGCACGCTTTCTCTACCAAGAAAGGACACTTGGGACAATCGACATCGTCGGGGTGGCAGTTATGCTTCACCGTGGGGTGGCCGCAAGGAGGTGCTCTTCTGCAGTCGAATCGGCATTCAGGAGGCCTGGTCCCGCACGGCTGTGGAGGTTGCAGGACAGTCCTGCCGCAGGCACAGCTGATCTCCTCGAAGACGGCTTCGAGGCAGCTTGGGCAGGGCCCAGCATGGCAGATTTGCGAGCACTGGTGAGTTCCACACTTCAGTGTCCTACCGCACACGCGGAGGCAGATGTGTTCCGCCTCAACCTCGTCCGGAGCCTGCTGCTGTCTATGCTTCCTCTTGGCGGCCTGTCTCTCCATTGCCTTCTTCTCCCCAGGACAGCAGCGCTCTCCACACTTGTGACGACTGCAGTTCAGCTGGGCCTGGCAGACCTTGAAACACATTGGAGTTGCAATCTCTCCCTGATGGCAGAGGGTCTTGCTCACAATGCGGGTGCATCGACAAGAAATGTCCTGCTTCTGGAAGCATGTGTTACAAGGACCGGTATGGCACGTGTCCATGCATTGGTGGCCGCAAGAAAGAATCTTGTCGCATGTCTTCTTGCAGTGAGGGATCTTGTCCTGACAAGACTGTCTTGGTTGTTCGAGAAGCTCTTCCAACGGTGTCTTGCCACAGGGGCAGTGAACAATAACATCTGGAGCCGACGGGCAGTGTGCCGGCACTTCGTCCTGCGAATGACAGGTCTTCTCACAATCGTGCAAACCACAGTCGTATTTCCTCCCACAAGTCGCTCCGCAGTCGAATGAGCCGTCGAACCAGCTATCCTCAGAAACATCCTTGGAATCCGAGCTGGAAACCTGGCCATAGTTAAATGACATCTGAAGGTCGTCGCGGCGATCGCAGGGAATCTCCTTGTGCTCTTTGCCACAGTAGCATCTTGCCTGTACAGGAATCTCGCAGCTACCACACAAGCCAGAGTGGCAAGGAGTAGCGCAGAAGTGCTCGCCGCAAGGTAGCAAGTCTCCGCAAATCTCTTTGCAACTCCATCCGTTTCCATAGTCTGTCTCGGTGCAACGCTTCGTCACTTCGTGTTTGCCACAGAAGCAAGACTGTGTTGGGCCCATGAGGGTGCATGGCGGGCATGGGCCGGCGTGGCATTCGAGAGGGCATGGATGCGGGCATGTTGCTCTGGGCTTTGAGCAAGTCTGTCCGCAAGAGTGGGGAGGAAGACCAGGAACATTTCGAGGGTTGATGTCCTTCCCGCACCAACAGTGGTAAGCGCTCGGCTCCTCAGTCAAACTAGAATTGCAGCCGGGGCAGCGCCAAGAGCGCGTGTCGTCGTCCTTCTTCAGTTGGCTCGTGAACCACTTCTTGACGCAAGACAAATGTAGCACCGTCCAGCACAGCCCGCAGGACCATACGCGAGATGGCCGCAATACTTCACTGGAGCAAATGACACACTCGTACTGGCCATTGCTGATGTCCTCATGGATGCGCGTGGGTAAATCTGCGGCTACAGATTTTGGTGCCAGTGGATACTGAGGCTTCTTTTGCTTCGGCGCAGGTTGTTTTCTGGTGATATCATTCAGCCCAAGTTTCAGGATTTGGTGAGAATGAACATACCCTCTGTGGACAACAGGCTGCCCAGGAACGAAGTCCGGGGCATCCGCACTCAGCCCCTGTGCATCCGACGCATTTGGATCCGCGGCAGTCGTAAGGCTGCCTCCAAATGTTCGCTGAGTTCCTGATACCGTACCACCGCGGACCGCTCCACCTCGCCGGCCGCCCCGATTACCGCCGCGGCCACGGCCCCTCCTCCCCGAGCTCGCTGGCTCGGATTCGGGTGCATTTTCGGTTGAGGCTTCGGGAGCCGGTGCTGGCTGTGCTTGATTCCGGGGCTGGGGGTTGGCATTCCTGCCGCCACCTCGCCGGCCACCACGGCCGTTGCCTCCTTCTCCTCTCCCTCTCCCTGATCTGCCTCGACGGCTTGGCTGAGAACTTCCTCCGGCTGACGAGCCCGCTTGAGTCTGCGTCTGGGTTTGGGTCTGCGTTGGACCAGCGTCCGACATGTCTGGTAATCTAACTAGGGTGATGATATGATGAGGAGTTGATGAAATTGTGATTGCGCTTTTTGAAATACAGCGTCTTCGAACAGGTGCTGCCAGATTAGGCAACGAAAGTGAATCAAGAGGCCTCGCGCTCTCGCAAGAAAAGGAGAACTTGAAAGGAATGAAAGTGAACAAAGATCTAGGATCCTACTTCCACTCGGTACCCGGACCTGGGGAGGCGACTTTAAAAGAGAATCCGCAGCAGAGAAAGGGCAAGACTCCGTTCGAGTGAAGTCGCTGGGGCGGACTTAAGCGTTCGGATGGGTGGACCCGCTAAAATATTGGGAGAAGGTCCCTTCCGGGCTTGGAGCCGACAGGTGTGGCGAGACTGCCACTCTTCGTCCGCTGTAAGGCTGACAAAACAAGCAGGAGGTCACCACCTACCGTACCGTAGGCAAAGCCCGGGCCAGTCACTATGAGTCACCATCAATCGTTCCTGCGGCTCGGCTCTGCCACCAGCTAAGACAAATCTTAAGTTTGACTCAATGATTGATTATATTGTGCAGACTGCGGTCATGTTTTGTGCAGCTTTAGACCGCTTTGGGATATGCACCGCTATCTTGACGCTGGTTGAAGATCTTATTTCGTTGCAAGGTAAATGGCCTCAGTGGATACGGTGCGTACCTACCTCTGCACCTTACACCTTGCACCTCACAAGTCGAAATTGAGTTGATACTTGTCTGGTTGCTCACTTGTCAAATGTAGAATTCTCAAGACACGGCGGTTCTCGAGACTTCGACAGTTCTCAGAGCGGGCTCACAGATCTAGATTATCTTTTCTTTTTGTATGTCGTCGCTCTGTTATACTCTCTGGACAACGGCTCCCGCGAAGCCCTTGATAGGTTTGTAAAACAGCTCAAGGCTTCAACCGCGTCGATGGTTTAGTGGTAAAATTCTCCGTTGCCATACAGCAGCGTCGGGGAGCCGGGGGTTCGATTCCCCCTCGACGCATCTTTTTGTTTTTGACCCATTTAGTCAGGTCAAAAGAGTGCTTGCTATCTTGTCAATAGGAGTCATGTTTATCGACCCTTGCCAGTAATATCTGTTTGGAGAGGCTGGTTAGCCGTATTTTCTTGATGCATGGGTGAGTGAGAAGGCAAACATCGTCATGATGTGAATGAACCGCGGCTTCAACCAGCTCCGCGTCTACTAGATCTGATTTCTGCTTCAATCCAGGATGCTACGCTTGAGCGGTACGTTGTTCGATACTTAAGGCGTGTGAATGACGTGGTCAGTATTGACATGGTCCTACTCGGTCAGTCGAAAACGTTCCGATGTCCTCAGTCGACTTACCTTAGATTATGACTGAAGAATTTACTAAATTTGAGGTGTCCAATGGAGTAGGCTTGTTCTCAGAGCCAGCAGTGAGCAGTAAATCAGGCGGCGCGTGGAAAGAAGAGCGTGTCCTGTCCATGTGTGCAGCACGCAAGAAACTTCACGAGACGGGACATAATTACAGACCATTATCAACTCTCACAATCGAAACCGCCTGACCGATGGGATGGATCTAGAATCTGGCAAACTCAACAGCACGACGGAATGGGAGGGGCAGATCGGGGGCCCAGGCCTGTCGCTATCTCTGTGCATCACGACGAAATCAGGTGAAGACTCCGGTCCCCTTGGCGCCCTCGCTTCTAGGGTTGCGCGGAGAGCCAGTATTCTGATTCGCCTGTGCCTTGGTCCATATCCACATGAGAATCCCTGTAAGTGAGCAGTGAAGGCAGCATCGCCGTCGACGTGCATGATGCAGGTTGGTTTGCTCTGTTGGTTTGGGGAGTTCCAAAGCCAAAGACGAAGATTGGAAATGATTGACCTCTCAGGCGTCTGTCCTTCGTCACAAACCCCCCAAGAAATTCCGTTCTCAACATTTCATCTATTTATACCTGTAATACATTTTTTAAACGAACATTCGTTAAGAGACCACCGGACGGTTCCTGATTGATCTTACAATATTTAGCGTCGCCGATGCTGCAGTATACAAGCAACTCCGCATCTCACATCATCCTTCTTGCTCAGTCTCCCGGGCACTCGCGATGTGGGAGACATATCAGGTCATCGCTGCCGATAATGGGGTATGGACTCCTCTCCATTGGTCTCATAAGAGATGTAAGACTGACGCAGAAGGGCAGCAAATAGACGAACGCTCTGAAATTGAGGTTAGCCTTGGCACATCGCCACACCCAAAGGCATGATTTTAAAGGCATGATTTTAATGGCATCGCAGAGCATCGCCTCATCTAGTATGAGCATCAGCCAATCGATCCTAGGATACCGAATCGAGAATGGCAGGACTTACCACCGATATAAAGATGGCAGTAAGCTAGCTTCCGTGTCTTCACATAGCACAATGGTGTATCAGCTCCCCGGTTGACAACTATGTGATCAGAATATGTACTCCCAAATGATGAGATAGAGAGCGACAGACTAGGTTTGCTTGACGGCTCACTCCTTTTCTGCAATCGCTTAACATACGAATTAGACATGCAGCACGAGATATTCACATATACAATCGGCGATAAACTGGGACGGGCCCCGCCATGCGACGAAGATGCCAAGATCGGGCGTGTCCTCGACGTGGGGACTGGTACCGGCATATGGGCCATCGACTTTGGCGAATTGCATCCTGAAGCTGAGGTATTTTAACCATTCATACATCTCTCATGGCCGGCTCCTTACCCAGACGCTGCAATCAGGTCTATGGTGTAGATCTTTCGCCCAACCAGCCAGAATAGTAAGAGAGCCAGCGGGTGTCAGATGACGGCGTCTCGTTGATACTGACATGTCCTTCGAATACAGTGTGCCGGAAAATGTGAGGTTTGAGATCGACGACGTGGACGAAGACTGGACATACTCAAAACCATTCGATTATATCCACAGTCGGTTCATGACAGGTGCCATTAACAACTGGAGAAAGTTTTTCGAATCCGCTTACGAGTAAGATTTCGCTCTCTTTTGCCCTTCTTCATTCCCTCGAGAACAGCGATGAGTAATGACAGCCTTCGCGTTGCTGAATAGCCATCTTAACCCCGGCGGGTGGTTCGAGGTCCAAGATGCCGACATCAACCCTCAGTCCGACGACGACACCTTTCCAAAGGACTGCGCATTAGCAGAATACGTACAACTCCTCCAATCTGGCGCCGAAGCCGCTGGCTGTTCCTACGTTGATATACCAGCGCTAGCGGGCCTCATGACCGAGGTTGGTTTCGTGGACGTCTCGATTCAGATGTACAAGTGGCCCATCAATGGGTGGCCAAAAGAAGATAGGTCAGTATAATGCACAAACGACGCCCCCAAAGCATCCATCTTTCACTAGCAAATGGACCTTTGTTAGGGCTCGAGTACTAAGGACGATATCAGGTATAAGAAATTAGGCCTCTGGACACAGGAGAACTTCAGCAGTGCTCTCCAGGGGTTATGTATGGCTCTTTTTACGCGCGTCCTTGGGTGGTCGAGAGCGAGGGTCGAGGGCTTCCTTATTAATGTGCGCCATGATGTGAGGAATAGGGATTTCCACGCTTACTTTCGAATGTGAGTTGCGAGCCAGCCCTCATGGTAGCCACTTTACGTCAGCTCACTAACGATTGTTTGCAAGATACTGCATCATAGGTCGAAAGCCGTAGAAGGGTGAATTAAAACACATCTGTTTGGATAGATATCACCAGCAAGAAGAAGACTGTGTGTATAGGAGGTATTACATTTACACAGCCGCAAGGCAAGACTTAACATTTCTTTCCTGCATTCAAGATAAACATTCTGCTTGCCTCATCTTCATGACTACAGTTCCAAAGACGTGAAAAGGTAGGCTACTGTGCGCCACAGAATTCCTGAAAGTTACGAATCTCGACACCTAGACTTTAGGAAAGATTGGCGTACTAATGGTCCGTTGACTCAAGATCAGGGGCATGCGACGCAATATGCGCAAACCAATACCGCAATGTCCCTAGAATACAACTTTTACCTGACAAAGTACCGAATCCTATGCGAATGGCTTTAATCTGAAAGCCGGCAATTGGACAGTGGGTTCAGAAAGGTTCGTTTGTAGCGAAAACAAGACTTGATTCCAATGACTTGCTGGAGGTGTTGGGAGTATATCCCGAGTTGTGTCCAGAGACAATATACATCAATGTGGCCCCCACGCGAAATGAACTTTGGCAATCGACCTGGACTTGCCTCAGCAATCATCGGAGGAGTTTCCCTCAGTAGACAGAGCTTCTCGTTTGGGTGCCCATGTTTATCTCAAATGCAGGCTGGTGGATTGGTGACTGTCCGGGCCGGGGGCCTCAGACGGGGCATCTGATCTGGTTGGCAAGGGGTCCGGGGAGCGCGGGATGTGTTCGTCCTCCTTCCACAAATTGCTTCCCGAGCAATCGCAAAAGTTGCGGCGGGTACAGAAACCGTGAACCCTCATTCGCTTGAGCGCTTTTGAGCTCCACATTGTGACGCGAAAGCAGGGGAAAGAGACATCTTGCCAGTCGCTGTTGGTTGCATGTCTTCAGGCCAAGGAAAGAGGGGTCGCAGATGCAGAGTTGACCGGTCAGGTCTCTCGTCACAAAAAGCAGAGACCTCCCCGTCAGGGTTTATCTTGCTTTCCGGGAGGTTTTTTTTCTTCTTTCATAGCCGGCGCCGAATTCAAACGTTATTCAAGTCTTTTGCCTCATTGTTGGGCCCAGAAACAAGCAATTCAAGAGATAGAACGTAGGCCCTTACTCCCACCGGAACCAACAAACCCTGTTACGGGACAGACTTTACGACCGATCACGACGCGACAATGGCTGAAGTTGACCACGAAGTCGAAATCGCCGCTGAGGTACTTCTTGGATTGTTCAATTCATGTGGTAGAGAAACTTAAATTCCTATAGGAATCCGATCACAGTGGATCTGAACTCGGTGAGGTATGTTGGATCGTAGGGCCCACAAGAACCATGCCTCCAGCCAGCATGATCGAGACAAGAGCGCGAAGAGTTTTGGTCTTTGAACTAATGCAGTTCAATCGCATAGAGCGTGGCATCTTCGACGACCAGTCTCAGTGCCTCCATTCTTGAATACCGGATTGAAAATGGCCGGACATATCACCGATACAAGGACGGAAGTGAGTTTAAACTTGCCAGATGACGAGACCCGAGGACTGAATGTACTAACCAATCTTTATCTAAACAGAGTATGGCATGCCTAACGACGAAACGGAGGCGGAACGGCTAGGTACGCTGCAGTGTTGCAAAGTTCCACTGCCGATTTGCTCTTTCTAACAGGTTGGTCTAGACTTCCAGCATGATATTTGCGTCTACACGTTCGACGATAGACTTGGAATGGCGCCGCCATGCGATGATACCGCAAAGGTCGGGCGAGTGCTTGACATTGGAGCTGGAACTGGAAGCTGGGCTATGGATTTCGGTGACTTACACCCTGAGTCCGAGGTACGCTGCAGCATGACCCATGTTTACCTCAATGAAGCGGGAAACAGCTTGAGATCTAACTTAATATTCAGGTACTGGGCGTTGACCTCTCGCCTGTGAGGGCGGATTTGTATGAGATTTCCTCGCTCTAAGCACATCAATTCTTTTTTTAAGCTAATGAAATGGTTACAGCGTACCTCCGAACGTCAGGTTCGAGGTTGACGATGTCGAGGAAGAGTGGACTTATTCTCAGCCTTTTGAGTATATCCACAGCCGATTTATGACCGCAGCTGTTGACGACTGGGATGTATTTATCAAGAGATGCTACGAGTGAGTTACGCAATTAGAGCTGTACTTTCTTTTGAGCTCCCTGTACTGATTGAAGTAGCAATCTTACCCCTGGTGGATACCTGGAACTTCAAGAAGCCGATGTCATGCCCAAGTCTGACGACGACCTCTTGCCCAAAGACTCTTCAATTGTCAAATACGTCAATATGTTGCATGAGGCTTCCGAAATTACGGGTCGCAAATTTATTGAGGCGCCTCCGCTGAAGAACAAGATGATTGAGGCTGGCTTCGTCGACGTTGAGCTCCGCGTCTTCAAGTGGCCTCACAACACCTGGCCCAAGGATGAGAGGTACCCCACTCACTGAAGCAGTGTGAACACACATGAGGAAAGAAGGACAAGGCTAATAGAACCGACTAGGTATAAGAAGCTCGGCTTATGGACGCAGGAGAACTTCGGCTCTGCGCTCGAAGCCTTGTGCATGGCCGCCTTCACCCGCGTGCTCGGCTGGACGCGCGACGAGGTCAACGTCTTCCTCATCGACGTTCGGAATGACCTCAAGAACAAGAGCTACCATGCGTATTGCCCGGTGTAAGTACCCTATTTTTATCATGCTGCTTCGGGGTGCTGATAAGAGAGAACAGCTACTGCATCACTGGTCGCAAGCCGGAGAAGGAAAAGACCCCGCCGGTTCCTCAGGAGGAGACGGAGGCAGAGGACGGAGCGTAATGATGATGCGAAGTCAGTGGCTCTCGGCTGCTGGCGGATTTCTGTAGTCCTAGGTAAAAGGAACCTCTTGGTTATTGAGAATATGCTTCTGTCCTACAGGCTACCCCCACGTGAAACGATTTGGATCTCTCGCAGCCGTTATGAATGAATCGATTGACGTAAAACATACAGCGAGATTCATACCAACAATCTGCCCCGCAGCTTTCGAGGCGAAACAACCTGTTGGCCTGACGTTGATCGGGAACCAGCGGCTATGAGAACCGATAGTAGGAATTCCGATTCATGACCGCGCGGTAATAATACCAACAAGGCCAAAGGCAATGCCAAGTTGGCAATCTTGACAGAAAGAATATTGAAGCCAATGTAGTGCTTGCATCCGGATGGGGGGCTGAGGCGGCAGGATGTTGGAGGACAAGCGCGCCAAGGGTAATTTAGATGCGCCGCAGTGGACTGCCACCAACACGACTGAGATGATGCCCTGGTCCATCTCCCGACGGTGCCTGCGGAGGCCCTGTCAAGTTAAGGTAGGCAGCCGTTCGAATCCCCTCGGAAAAGCAAAGTAACTTGGCGTTAGTGTTAGTTTCTTAAAAGCTTAAAGGAGCATGTCATTTCAAGCATTCGTGAAAGAGGAGAAAGGAGGAGACGCAAGATGAAGCTAGAACAAATATTGGACTAGGAAGCGCTTTGTGAACCGACACTGGGAACCGGTCCCCCGGCTCAGCCAACCCAGTCCCCGGGGTTACGGGTGCCTAGAAAGGTAGAAGCTCTAGCGGTTTGGCCCAGCGTGCTGTCTCTCATCCCCCCCGGCGTATCTCCGCTTTTCCGTGCGGTGCTGCGGTGAAAAGGCCCGGCGAAGTTCGCTGCGGCACTGCCACTTCCTGCTGTTTCCCCACCCGAAAATAAGCAGAGCACCCGCCAAACTTCTACCGCCGTTTCTAAACTTAGAACCTTTTGGCGGTAGGCAGGATGCAGACACGGCCACACTATGGACACTGCTATACCTGTCACCAACAAGCCTTGCCTGCCTTACCGACTATCTGGTAGATCTTGGAGGATCGTTGGGAGATTGTAATGTTATACTATCGGAACCTGTGTATTTGGAGCTCATGACCACGATGCTTGCTGCAGCATATAACCACGGTGGTACCGCCATCAACGATGTAGGTGGGTGTTGTTGCTGCACCTCCCATCCTCTAATACTCATCGACCTCGAACGAGTGTGATACTCGCTCTAAAGAGTCTAACTTGATGCCCGTCTCGATCTCATCTTGACACCAAAATCACTTACACCGACGCATCATCACCAACAACATCACACCGACCGGCATGACTTCATCACCCTGCACGCTCGCGACGTGCGACGTCTCCGACAGCCCGTACGGCTACCGCCCAGCACTAACAGGCAGCGCCGTCTTCGCCACCGTCTCGGCCCTCTGCCTCGTCGTCAACGGCGCCGTCGCCGCCCGCTCAACACAACGACACGCAACAACCCCCTTCTCCGTCATCGTGACCCTCGCCTGCGTGCTCGAGTTGCTCGGCTGGGTGGACCGCATAGCCGGCTGGAGCGATCCGTGGGCTGTGTACCCTCTCCTGCAGAGCAAGGCTCTGCTCACCATTGCCCCCATCTTTGTGACTTCAAGGTACGTCTAAGTTCTTCTGTGGAACCGTGCCAGTCTCTACAAAAATTCTGAATCCGATTCTGATTCTCTGTTTTGCAGTATCTACGTCTGCCTCGCACCAATGGTCCGGATACTAGGCACAGAACACTCCTTCATCAAGCCAGAGCTCTACACTACCATTCTCCTCCCGCTAGACGGCCTTGCCCTCCTCCTACAAATCGTAGGCCTCGGCATCGGCTTTCAAAACGTGCCGTACACCCTCTCACCCCAGGACTCGTACGCACCCAACGACGTGGGCGCGAAAATCGTCTTGGCTGGGCTGGCCGTCCAGTTCGCGACCCTAGTCGCCGCGGGCTTGTCCCTCGCCTTCATCCTCCTCCGCGCAGCCCGGTCCTACCACCAGTACGGCTACACCACCTTCCACCGAGACGTGGGCTACGTACCTCTGACGGGCCGCTTCCGCATCTTCGCCGGCGCGGTGCCGTCAGCCATGGTCGTCTTGTTCGGCAGGATGTGTTTCAGGGTCGCCGAGTACGCAGAGGGCTTTCGGGGCCCGCTGGCGAGGGGAGGCGGAGAGGGACTGTTTCTCGGTCTCGAGGGGTTTCTTATCGGGTACGCGCTCTTGGCGATCGTGGGGTGCCACCCAGCGTTGTTTCTAAAGGATGGGAAGATGGTTTCGAGGATCGAGTCTGAGCCGTTTGTCGGTATTGATGGTGTTGGGAGTACTGGTGGGAACGGCGATCACGAGAGGGATTTGGAGGAGCTCAGCAAGGTGTACCAGAGGCATCACGAGGAGGAGCAGAGGTTGTCGAGGTTTGAGCGTGCTTAAAGATGATACCCCCGTTTTAAAAGTAGCGTGCGTTGATAATATCTGGTTCATGATTAAGGAACCTAGTCGAATTTACAGTTTACATATTTTCACTCTGCTTTTGAATTTCTAAGACTTCCCGCTCATAATGGAAACTTGCAACATTTACCGCATGTCTTAATTATAAATCAAATGATCTGCAAACCGGCAGGAAGTCTCAGTAGCTCACGTAGGAGAATAGTTTAATCGCAGTGTCTAACATAAATGGCGGAACTGCAACTAGATTGCACACTGTGTCTCAGTAGGTTAGCGTCTACAAAGTGAGAGTCGGAAATCTTCACTCAGCATGTCAACAACAAAGTAGTTAGTCATTGCTACAATTAGTAGCTCAGTACATTTTATGAACATTTTCTACGTATAATCAAGTCTTTTGAACGAGGTTCGACAATTATGTAAGTCATCAACTGTACAAGCTTATAAACATGATGGAGCTCTAGTAAGCTCTCCAGACACGGTAGTATTGACAATGGGGTCTCGACTTCTCGGCTCGCACATACCTCGGCAACTGGGGTCAATTCCTCCATACAGAAAGTGTATCCGTCGTCTTATTCTGCAACTCGATCAACACGCATGCGGGAGGGGGCAGGTCTGACAGAACGACTTTACTCAGACCACAAAGTCCACACTTACTGGGACTTTGGGCGCTAACATGATTGGTCTCGAAACGCGATGCCCAAGATCGTCAATAGTGCTTACACGTTGAAAGATGACCGAGATCCACATCGGACGCCTCACCCGCCAAGGCAATATCACTCTGACTAAATAGACACGGAAATCCATATAAGATGCCAATTGCCATTGCGCAATGGAGCTCGTAGAAACATGAACTTTCATCTCTCTCGTAATCTACTCAGACTTGCTTTCCTCTGTTTGCATAGAAAAGTCTAGACCAAACCATAGCATCCTCCCACAATGTCCAGCAAACCCGTCATCGTACTCACCCCGGGAGCATGGCACTCGCCAGAGCACTTCCGAGACCTCCGCGACGAGCTACACACAAGAGGCTGGGAGACCCGCGGCGTGAGACATCACTCCGTCGGCTCTGAGCCGCCAAACAAGGGCTTATACGACGACGCGGCCGCCACCGCTGCCGTGCTGCAAGAGCTCGCCGAACAAGGTCGGCAGATCGTCCTGGTCGCTCATTCATACGGCGGTCTCGCGGCGGCCGAAGGCGCAAAAGGGTTTGGGATCAAACAGAGAGCCGCGGAGGGCAAGCCTGGCGGCGTAATTACACTTATGTACCTCGCTGCGTTCGTGGGGCAGAAAGGGCAGAGCATCTTGAGCATGACGGGCAATGTGTATCCCCCGTGGACGAGAGTAGAGGTAAGGAACCTTCTTCCCGGTTTCCTTCGAGAGTCTCGATGAGCTGACAACATACGTTAGGACGGCCGGATCCATATCGTGACCGCCGACGACCCCCTCTACGGAGACGTTCCTGCAGAGGCAAGGGAAAAGGCAAAGAGCTTGTTGAAGCATCATACGACCATCTCGTTCGAGGAGACAATAACGTACGAGCCCTGGCATGACATTACCTGTATGTACGTCGGCTGCGAGGACGACCAGGCGATTCCGTACTTTGCGCAGGAGCAGATGCAGCAGCTCCTGGGACCCGAGGCAACCAAGTTGAAGTTGAAGTCTTCGCACTCGCCGTTCCTTTCTGTTCTGTCCGAGACGGCTGATGCTGTTGAGCTTGCTGCGAAGAAGGGGTTGGAGGCTTTATCGGCTTAGACTACACAGCTTCGTTTCGCTGCGGTGGCATACTGTAGCTATGAGTGATGATGAATGAACTCATGTTATTCATCTCCAGTAAACCAGCGCAAAATATAGCCAGTCTGAAGATCAAAGTAGATGATATATGATGGCGCTTGTGCCGTGCTTGTTGCAGCCTTTGATCTAATTTAGATACAGGTTTGGTTGAAGGTTCGTTATAGGTAAGGTTGTCAGCGCAAAGACATCAAAACCATCTCCAAATGCATTCAACGCATGGGCTCCTTCGTACGCGACTATCAAACCCAGCCATGCCATTGTACGATTGTCGTCTCAACTTTACTCTAACATGTGGGAATTCATGTATTACTTTACTCAACTGAATACCAATTTCATTAACACGTGTATTTCTGAACGGGCAATAATTTGAGTGGCATGGAGGTTGTTGCCTAGGTTAGGTAACTGAATGTAGGGCACAATATCTCTCACATAATATATGAGCGTAATGTCCTGCACCCTAAGGGAATAGCTGGACCGGCATGCAGAGAGCAGTAGGCATCCATCAAAAAGGTGAGCGATATCCGCGGTGCCTTGAGAGATAGATGCCCACGAATGGTCGCCTGAAGAAGACGAGTTCCCCAAAATGGGTTGCTGAGATGAGGTAAGGTTGCCGGGATGCACCCCGCCGTGAAACCCCCACCAAAACCCTTTCCAAGGCACCAGCCTGAGTGCACCTTGACGTAGCCAGCCAAGCAGCAGGAACAGCCGGGATCCCGTGTAGTAAACAAAAGCAGGAAAGCAATCAGCCGAAGCATAGGAAGGTATGTAATTACAAGACTGACTACACTTCGACTTACCTTACTTCACCGAAAGACCCCATTCTCACGCATCACCACCGCAGAAGACTGAACCCCATTCATCGGATATAACTACAAACTTGAATCTTTCACCCCGCCGCTACTCAAAACTTCTTTAGCACCACCACACCAATAGACAACCATGGCGCCCCCCTCCCAGCTCACCGTCGCGACCCTCTCCGTCACCAGACTCCTCAAGGAGGAGATCTCGTACGAGAAGGAACTCATCCAGCAAAGAGGCAAGGTCACGACTCTGGAGAACGAGATCAAGGAAGGCAAGCCCGATGAGGACGGAAACCGGGAGTACATGCTCAAGCAGCTGGTAGGTTTTCCCATCCGTCACTTACCATCACCGCTGGAGTTCTCGCTCCTCCGAAGTATCAGTGATTCGTTTTTGCGTGTAACACCCCGGCTGACTGACTTTGGGGGGACTAGAAACTCGCGGTGGAGGAGACGCAAAAGGTGTTCCCCGAGCTGAGAACCCGCGTCGAGGACGCGACCGTCAAGCTGGAGGAGCAGATTGCTCTGGCTGAGAGCGGCGGTGCGTCGCCTGAGGAGCTGGAGACGGCGAGACTTGCACTCGCAAAGGGCAAGGAGGAGAAGACGTATCTCAAAGACGACGTCTCTGCTTAGAGTTATGATTATTTCTTTTTCCCTGCGTTCTGATATCAAAGATGAGAAGAGGTTCGGGATTGCGTTGTGTTAAGGACAGGCGAGCGTCAGAGGCAAGACAGCTGCCTGATTTAATGGGTATCTCAATTGAGGGACTATTCTAGGATCTTCCGAAGCACTTGATTTGTTTAGCTGTCCACCTCCATGCTCTCCGGTGCGTCCACTGTGATTTGAGGCGTATCGCCTCCCGAAGTAAGTTGGGTATCATGGCGGTCATCCATCTCAACGTCCTCTCCCTCTTCAATCTCGCCCTCATCATCATCTTGAGGCTGAGGAGTGCCATTCTGACTCGGGACGGCGCTGCCAGATCGCGAAAAGCCGCCCAGGCCACTCGCTCGAGGCTTGAGACCCTCAGATTGATCCTCCGACTGACCCTCGTGCGCCGACGCCGGTCTCGGCACGGCACCGCTGTCTGGGTGCGGCGTGACGTTGCCGCTAGAGACGTGCCGAGGCGTGTTGCCCCCTCTAGAAGCGTCGCCGTCCTCCTCGCCGTCTTCGTTCATGCCCTCCCGTCTCTCGACCTCCTCCTTCTCGTCGCGGATCTGTCTGCGCAGTTGCATGCCTTCATCCATAATTTTGCTGAACTGATCGCGTCGCTCCCGCCACGTCACCGCATAGGTCTCACTTTCCTTCTCCAGGTCGCGAATCTCCTCCTCGAGCTTCTTCAGGTTCGACTCCTGCTCCCCGCGCGGCCGCAGGCCCTTAGCCATGAGCGCGTTGGCGAGCTTGTCATACTCCTTACGTTGGGCAAGCGTCGCCCTGGCGCCATCCAGCTGTTCGCGCAGCCGCGCGTTGTTGTCTCGGACGTTTTGGCATTCCTCGAGAATGCGTTGCTGGTCAGCTTTGTAGCGTTCGCGCTCGCGTACATTCGCATCGAGGAGGAATTGCAGGCGGGCAATACTGCTATCGAATGCGGCGAAGTCGAGGGTGAGGTCGTCTTTGATCTGATCAATCTCTCGCAGGGTTTGAGCGGTCTTCGTCTCCTCCTTCACCTCAGTATCGGCGTCATTGTCGCCGTTTGCGCCTTCGGGCGGAGGGGTAGGTTGCTGTTTCGAGTGGGCATTTACAATCGTCGAGATGGATGTGAGCCGCTTGGTGATGCGCTTGAAGGGCTTCTCCTCGATGTTGACCAGTCGCGTTTTGTGCAACTCCTGCTCCTCCTTATCATCCAGAAGACCCCAAGTTGACGCCATTTCGCGGGATTGAACTAAGGAAAGCTGTATTGTGTCGCTTGTCGAATTGTAAAAGCTAGATGAGCTTCGACCCTGGGGCTGTGCTGTAGGAGGTCAATTCCTCGCTGGTCCTGCCAATCAGCTCAAGAACAATAAAGCCGTAGTTCTTCTGAGCTGAGTGTTGCAAGATAATGCGATTGATGTGAGCGACAAATCGGATACCACAGTTGACGATGATGAAAATGCAGGACTGAACTCAAAAGGAGCAGCTGTAGAGGAAAAGAAGCTCCAGGTCGTGCACCTTTCTTCTTTCACAGCCTTGCAGTAGCAGGCCAGCAGCCACACATGCCTTGCTTAGCGCAGATTGGTCAGCTACCTCTCAAGCCTTAAGCGCTGTGAAGTGGGTCACTGTCCCCTCTACCTGCCCAAGACAAGGAAACTCCGATCGCACTGTCAAAGCGTCTACCTTCCCAACATTCGGTGATCTCATCTTCGCAAAAACACACCAACTCCCTCAGGCGCAACAGCATTTCTTTGGTTGCAAAACTCAGAAACACCACAACAAAAAGACAGTACAACTCTGCAACACTAGGACATGCCATCTCAGGAAGAACAAGAACTGCTGGCCAGAATCGGCCAGCTTGCGGGTACGTAGTGCTTTTTCTGTAACCAGACACATGTGACAAGAGCGCGTATTCTCTAACGTAGTGGCAAACAGGCAAGATCAACCTTCACAAGGCCCAGCAAGCTGGCGTTCAATCGGTCCCAAGCAGCCAGGCTTCCTATCTTCGTCGTATGTTTAATCTTGAGACCGATAAAATCATCCTGCGCTTACACATCACAGACAACACTCACCGACATGGCGCCTTCCCCCACAAGCATCGAGTCCAGCCGTACCCCTCCACCCGAGGAGGCCCGACAGGTTTTCGGCATCGGTCCTTGGTGGTAAACAAAGATGGAACCCAAACACCTCCTTCCGATGCGTCGTCCCCGGCTGAGGGTTCTGTCTCGACCACTTCCTCAGGCGCTTGGATCTCGAAGAACACCCGCGGTCAGAGGTCGCTGATCAACTCGGCCGTTTATGACAAGACCAATGAAGCACACGTTAAGGCCATTGAGGCGTCGCGCCAACAGAAGATTCGTCAGCAGGACGCGCGCGAGCAACAACAGCTCGCCAGCCATTTCCAACGCTACAGCGGCAATGCAAGCGCACCGCATACTCCTACTAACCCGACAGCGACAGGTAATCACGAGATAGAGATTCAAGGCATTCGCTTCCGTGTCGCGAACAGCGGCAGCAAGCTCATCAAGGTGTCGGGTGCGTTACTACTACAGCCTTGCACAGCGGAGCAAACTTACAACGGTACAGGAGATCTACACCCAGTCAACGCTACCCCCAAAGTCGCCTTCGTTGGGGGTGTCAAATTTCATCGAAGCAAGACCGGTAATCTTTACCGTGACGGTGTGCTCAAAGCTCAACGGTATGAACCCTTCCCTCTTGGCCGACAATTGCTAACTTGAGTCGCTCCCCCAGCCAAACTGGCGTCAAAAAGGTCGACGTGCCTTGCAGCATGTTTTCGCTGACTGGTATTTTACTCACAATCTTATTCGATTGCCCACGCAATATCCGATCCGACAGATTTGGATGATTTCTTGCTCAAGTGGGTATGATATACCGGACTCCACTAACCACCATCATTTCATTTTAGGTTCATGTGCCAAGGGACCATCTTGTCGATACAAGCACGATGCTACGAAAGTTGCCATTTGCCGTGAGATGCTGCACAAGGGAACCTGCGCCAGTGGGGATTCTTGCGATCTGTCCCATGACTTGACGCCCCAGCGCATTCCGACTTGCGTTCACTTCGTCAAGGGCAATTGTGCCAACTCTACTTGTCCCTATGCTCATTCTAGTGTATCCTCAGGTGCTCTGGTCTGCCGTTCCTTTGGGATGTACGGCTACTGCGACAAGGGAGACGAATGCGAAGAGCGACACGTCTTCGAGTGCCCCGACTTCAGCAACACGGGCAAGTGTAAAACCAGGGGCTGCAAGCTCCTTCACCGCGAGAGGGCAAGCGTCCTTCGAAAACGGGCGGACGGCGACGAGATGGAGGATTTGTCGAGCGATGACGAGCCGGTCGACAGCGACGACGTGGACTCAGACGAAGTGGAGGAGTTTATCACCGATGGTGCTGGTGATGATACTGACTTCAAGGTTCAGAAAGATTATATCTCTTTCTGATTGTGATCTGATGCCACCTTGCCGAGGCCGAAAGGTCTCTTTTCACTACTAACATGCTTGCTATCCAGTCCTTGAAGG